TATTTACATTCAATATATTTTCAAGACAATCCAAGTGGGATGACATTTAATTAATACACTTATGTTCTTTAATAGATATCTCGGATTAACCACATATAACGCATGGGGATCCTCTATGATGGGACAAGGTCTTATCATTGGTGTAATCGACTCCGGCATAAAGCCTACACATCCTTCATTCAATGACAAAAACATGCCACCAAAGCCATCCGCTACAAAATGGAAAGGTAGTTGTTTTGCAGGTTTCCCATGCAATAATAAGATCATCGGAGCAAAGGCATTTTTTAGAGGGTTACACCCTTCCCCGAAAGACAATGATGGACATGGAACTCATGTGGCAAGCATCATAGCTGGCAGCTTTGTCAAGGATGCAAATATTCTTGGAATGGCAAAGGGTGACCCAGCATCTGGCACGGCACCTATGGCTCATCTCTCCATTTACAAAGTTTGCTTTCCAATATTTGGGTGTGTTGGGGTTGACACATACGCTGCTATTGATCAAGCGATAAAAGATGGGGTGGACATTATCTCGATGTCTATTACTGGCTATCATAATGATACGTTTTATCAAGATTCAGTTTCTAGGGGTTCTATGGCAGCCATACAACATGGAATCATTCCTGTCTCTATAGCCGGAAATGATGGTCCTGGGACAGGGACACTCAGTCATAGCGCGCCATGGGTGTTAACTGTTGGAGCATCTACCACTGATCGAAGAATAGCATCCACTGTGGAGCTGGGTGATGGTAGAATGTTCCATGGACAATCGGCATACCAACCAAATCATTGGAATTCTACTAAGAAGTGGGAGCTTGAATATCCTGGCAAGAATGGTAACGCTAATGCCCGTAGTTGTGTGACCAAGGAATTGGCTAAATTTAACTTAAGAGGTAATCATTCATGTTGTGATTAAATCAAAATTATGATCCTTATTGTCAATAATTATTGAATTAATATATACATGCTATATAACAATCGATAATTAAATAATCCATTAATTTGTTAATTAATATGAGCTAGCACATGTATATTGAATCGCAGGTAAAATTGTGATATGCGAGGCAAGCAAAGTTAAGTATGAGAAGCAAGGAGAGGCGGCATACCTAGCTGGCGCGGAGGGAATGATTGTAATAAACCAGGCTTCCCAAGGGCACACCACGTCTTCTCCTGCTCACGTTCTTCCGGCATCTAATATAGACCACCCGGCAGATATAGAAATTTTAGACTACTACTTCAAGAATCAATCCAATGCATTTGCCAGCATACACTTCAATGGCACACAATTCGGATTCACTCCCTCCCCCGCTGTCGCATCCTTCTCCTCACGTGGGCCAAGCCGCATGAATGGAGGGATCATCAAACCCGATGTGCTTGCCCCTGGAGTAAACATTTTGGCTGCCTGGCCAAAAGATGTTGGCCCTAACCCAAATCCATTAGCGACTCACACCTTCAACTTTGACAGTGGAACCTCCATGGCCGCACCACACATATCTGGGATTGTGGCATTGGTACGGAGCAAGCACCGTGGGTGGACCCCAGCAGAGATTATATCAGCATTCGTGACAACCTCGAATGACTCATGGACGGATGCCGGCGATATTATTGCTGACGATGACACATACATAACTGCAGGGATATATGCCACCGGGGCTGGTCAGGTAAACCCGATCAAGGCGATGGACCCAGGCCTTGTGTTTGGGCTCACCTTAAACGACTATGTTGGATATCTTTGTGGCCTTGGGTATAAAGACGAGGAGGTTTCCATTACAATCGGAAAAAAAACAAGTTGCAATGGGGTTAAGTATATAATCGCGTCAGAACTTAATTACCCATCAATCGCGATCAATTTGACTAGGTCAAAGAGGAGTCAAATAGTGAACAGGATAGTGAAGAATGTGGGGGATGTGAGAGAGGACTACTCGGCTAAGATTACCCAGCCCGTGGGGGTAGCAATTTATCTCTCAACTTATAAGCTTCGATTTACGAGGTTGAATCAGGAGGTAAGCTACAAAGTCATCTTTGTCTTGAATGGTGCTTATCCGAGTCAGGGGAGTGACATGATAAGAAGAGGAAAAATTGTATGGGATTCAGGGAAGCATGTGGTGACCACACCTATTGCCGTTAGGTTCACATAATTTACCGGCTCATGCATAATGCTAAATATAATAAATGTTTGAGTGTAATCAACAAATGTTCCTAACAAATATATATATATATATATATATATATATATACAGAGATCGAACTACAAAAAGTCTATTTGTTTTTCTTTTAATTTATTAAATAAAATCTAAATTTATTTGCCTCAGCTGAACAAATATGCTTACCTTTTCTCTAATATCTATCTACTTTCGGATCCGATGTGATATTGATAGTACTTTTCTTTGGAGATGCTCTGAAATTTTTTCATGTGATTGATGAACAAAGCATGCACTCGAGCTTCGAGCAATTAAAAAAATAATTAATAAATGGTCCATAAATATAATTTAAATTCAGAAATATTTTTATTACCTGCATCATTGGTGCTAATATTATTTAATAATGTAATTTTTCAAGGCAGTAAAAAAACTATCTCAAATTAAGCCTAAATTAACTCATTATAAAGTTTCGCTGCATGACTTAAAATACAAAGTATATAGAAGGAAGACTTGTCCATAAGCAAATTACGACTCTTATATACTGTAAAACCTCATATAATAGACATGATAACAGCTTGGGTGCTGGCTATAATATTAAAGCACATTTTTAAAAATTTATATTTTGTTATAGATGTTCTTATCCGGGCAATTTTTTGGCTTAACTATAACATTTTATAGATGTAATTGTTAAAAAAAAAAACTAAAATTAAGTTAATGTGAATATCACAATTTCCTTATGGCCATCATCGCTTTGTTAAATCTAATTATAAAAAATTTTTGAAAAATAAAATTAATATTAATCAAATAAAAATATGATAAAAATCTACTTAGCAATGTCATTCATTATTGTTATTGTCATTCATTATTGATTCCATCTCTCTACAAAGATCTCTCACCCGTTTATTTAGCTAAAAATAGTCAAGATCATTATTGCTTCCTCAAACATTGCATTCAACTCTATTTCTTTATATTTACAAACTCTTAAATGTAGTCTATCCATAATGCTCTTTTCTAACTAAACATATTCACTCAAATTTGTCCTATTGAATCAGGAGTTTAAGTGAATTTTCACTATTAACAAGTAATCAGCCTAGTCGTTCTACTAATAGGAGGAGAGATTAGGTGATAATAAAACGAATAATTAACGGCTGGCATACCTTGGTTAACAATTACTAAGGAACATGAAAAGTTAATGGCTGGTGGACGGTCAGCATAATTGTTCTCTTGACAAGATACGAGATCAGGTAACAAGGAAAATGAAGTTTGGGGCCTAACAAACATTCATCTTTGGCATGAGTGATCATCGACATGGGACATTATAAGTTGGGTCGACATTGCGAATTAGACATGATCAGCATGCTCATGGTCACAATGAAATGGAGGTTGAGAAACCTAAAAGATTTGTTTGGCATATATGGCAAATGATTGTCAAATGTCAACTTATGTTGAGTGATGATCAATAATGAGCATCAATATTAGTCGATGACTAGTGTTAGGTGAAAGATGATAGAGACTGTCTGTGTCAATTGATGGCTAGCAACATATGATAGGTAACAACGGGTATCAATATCAATAAAATTCTAGTATATTAAGATAGTTGACAGTGGGCATCAGCGTAATTAACAGCTGACGTGAGGCAATGACTAACAACAAGAAAAACATTGAATCTTCTAAAAATCCAAATTTCAAACCACTTAAAAGCAATTTGCACAAAGAAAGCCTTGTTCGAATAAAATTTGGTCTCATATTAGCAAAAGCTTTAGTTAATTTGCTAAACCAAAGAAATAAATAATATTTCAAGTTTCTTACTCAAAAGAAGGCATATAGAACTCATATGTGTAAATTATTTAGGAATGGGCAATTCATCAATGCTCAGATTATATGCCAAGCTTTCAATCCCAATATGCGTTTATAATTTATTTGTTTCATCGATGAATATTAATAACTTAGTAAAAGACATGTATATTGAGATGAACAAGAATTTGACGAGCTTGGGTTCATTGGATTCGTCTCGTCGAGTCGCTCGATTCGACTATAAACATGTCACATTTGGAGACCTTTTGGTAATCCAAATTATTGTATGAACCTTCCAAATATGCTTCAAGTCCTCAATTTGGATCTATTTGAGCTCGGATTGAGTTGAATTTGATGTCGTTGGGTTCATATTTCTGAGACGTTCAGTTTAACTATAAGTTTGTCGAAATAGGAGTTCAAATGGTCTCCGATTTAAATTTTAAAGTTTCTAACCTGATTTTTTGCTTTAAGATTGGTGCCCAATCAATATATATTATATATTATGATATATTATATCTGAAGCTAAAATGCAAAGGGCATAATGACAAAGAGAATCTCAGATTATATGAATAGTAATTTATAGAGACCATTTGAATGAAAATAAAGGAAAATTGCCATCAGATTACGAGTGGATCGTGCTCAGAATTTAAAAATATAAGTCACACTAATGCTTGGAGCAGGAATAGGCTATTTGGCATTATATTGCTTAATTATTCATACAAATGCTTAAAGACAATTCCATTAGTTCAAAATCCAATGACGAACTGCGATAATAATAATAATAAAGACAAAACAAATTATTCTAGTGGGCACGTGGACAAAGAAGCAAACTATAATCATAACCTGCCCATGATATCCCCACTACTCCGCGATGTATAAAACAAAACAACGGCATCAAACCGCAGCACGTTGCCCACGATCTCCTTCGCAGAAACTGTCTCAATTCTCATAAAAGAAGATAAATGAAACAATGAGGCTCTCACGCTCTCCCAAAATTTCCCAAAAAAAGAGGCTCTCACGCTCTCAGAATCGCAAGAAAAAAAAAAGGGAAGATTTCAGGAAACTTACAGGGCTTTCGCTCGGTGACCGAACTGCACCGTCTCCGACCGGATCTCTTCCAGACCGCCGGCTTTTCTTCCTTCTCCGAGCTCGAAGCCAACCCGACCTCGCTGACTTTCCACCCCATCCACAAGCCAGAGCCGTCGACTGAACTCCTTCACCAACCGAAGCCTGCCGAGTCCGGCTTCCAGGAATCCTTCGTCGCCGCCGATCCCAGCGTCTTCCACGGAATCCCGCCGCCGGCCTGAATCCCCGCCGACGAAGCCGCAGCACACTGCCGCCGTGCGTGACCTAGCCCAACTCCTGGCTTTCCTTCCCGATCTCCCTCTCTCTGTTTATACTTTATATATATTATATACTATATATAATATAATAATGTATATATCATATATTTTATACATTATTATATGATATGTCATATAATATATGCAGATATAGCGTTATATTATATATGATATATATTATATATTATACGTATATTATATAAAATATTATAATATATATAATAAAATAAAATAAAGTAAGAGAGATGAGAGGATTTTCAAGCAAGGAACAAACAACAAATCGTCGGCAACCGCTACAAACAACAATTAAAGCTTCTGAAGACTCAATCTCCTCGCCGTTGATTCGCTCCGGTCGAGTCGAGCCACTTCCTTACCTCCCAGCGCCGGGGAGGGGACGCTGGGAGGCTGCCGAAATTTCCTCAAAATTTCGAAATTGAGCCAAAATTTTAACAATCAATCGGCGATCAACTACAATCTGCATGCAATCAATGACAACCGGTGATCATCAAAGCTTCTGAAGACTCAATCTCCTCGCCGTTGATTCGCTCCGGTCGAGTCGAGCCAATTCCTTACCTCCCGGCGTCAGGGAGGGGACGCCGGGAGGCTGCCGAAATTTCCTCAAAATTTCGGAACTTAGCCAAAATTTTAACAATCAATCGGCGATCAACTACAATCTGTATGCAATCAATGACAACTGGCGATCATCAAAGCTTCTGAAGACCAAACTCCTCGCCGTTGATTCGCTCCGGCCGAGTCGAGCAACTCCATACCTCCCGGCGCCGGGGAGGGGACGCCGAAAGGCTGGCAAAATTTACTCGAAATATTTGACGGTTAGCCACTTTTTTTAATACTCAAATGATAATTTAATTAAAAAAATAATTATAATATCAATCAATTGATAAATCAAAATAAGAAGAAGGGATCCTCGACAATGTACCACAATCTACAATCAATTGTCGCCAGTCGAAGCTTTTGAAGACAAAATCTCCTCGCCGTCGATACGCTCCAGTCGAGTCGAGCACTCCCTTACCTCCGGGCGCTGGGGAGGGGACGCCAAGAGGCTGCCAAAATTTTCTCAAAAATTTTGAACTTAGACAAATCGGAGAATATTCATTTGATCAATTTAATTAATATAAAATATTTTTTTAATAGTCCAGTTCATTTACAAACTACTGAGCAGCTTTCGAATACAATTACTCTATATATAAACAACTCTTTGGTAGCTCTCAAATTTGCAACCTTCCAAAGGGCTAAAGATCAACTCAAACATAAGAACAAAGGAGCTCTCCAAATAACTCAACAAAGAACTTTGAAGCTCTCAAAACAAAATTCAAAATCTCTCCAACAAATATCTCAAGCACTCTGAGTAGCTCTCAACAACATGTTCTTGTAGCTACATGAAAGCTTCTTAAACTGCTGGCTACGAGCTCCTGCAGGCAAACAGGCAAAAAGTCACTGCATCAATAAACAATACTAAATTATATATTGAAAAAAGTAGAATCTAGCTATTGCATGCAAAGCAAAGTGCTGAAAGCTGTAAAAAAAAATCAATAAATGACAATGCTAAAGTAAAGTCACAAACTGTTGTAGTTGAAATGAACTACGAACATGAAAACAAAACACTAATACTAGTGTCGAGGGAATAAAAGTGTCTAAAGCTATGCCCTAATTAATTTGAATCCTATAGGTTACTTCTAAGAGGAGTAGTAAATCCTATCGACAATTCTTTCGCTAAATATATATTTATTAAGTAAAGCAATAAATTCCTAAAATACCTAATTGGCTACTTTCAATGAAAGCTGTAAGTCCAGTCTTTAGGGGTAATAGTTAGATAGCAACATAACTAACCTAGCTCTAAACTCCTTAATTGGGCATCTTAGTCTATAAAATTAAGTTGTAAGACCCATCATTTGGGCTACTTCTAAGTGAAGCAGTAAGACCCGCGTATTAAGGAACTTCTAAGTGAACGTCCCTAAATCAAAAATTCAAATCACTTTGGGCATCTTAGTCTATAAAACTAAGTTGTAAGACCCGTCATTTGGGCTACTTCTAAGTGAAGCAGTAAGACCCCAGGAACTTCTAAGTGAACGTCCCAAAATTCAAATCCCTTTGGGCATCTTAGCCTATAGAGCTAAGTTGTAAGACCCGCTATTTGGGCTACTTCTAAGTGAAGCAGTAAGACCCGTGTGTTAAGGAAGTTCTAAACAAACAACCTTATAACCCAAAAACTCAAATCCCTTCGGGCCACTTAGCTTATAGGGCTAGGTCGTAAGACCCATCACTAGGCAACTTCTAAGGAAGCATAAGACCTACCCAACAAAAAATTCTTTGGGCAACTCCTAATTGGAGCCATAAGCCCTAAACTAAACAAATTAATGGGCAACTCCTAATTGGAGCCGTAAGCCCCAAACTAAATAAATTAACGGGCAACTTCTAAGGAAGTCGTAGACCCCAACCCAAACTAAACTAAATTAAAATACATACATCTCCACTTCAGTCTATTCGGGATCCCTGAGAGGAGGCAACCCATGGCTGCTAATCAGATTCCTTGGACACTACAACCAATGGTTATTAGTGTTGGTAGACTGAACCTATGGTATGCCCGGGATGACGGAACCATGGGATCTTGATCGGGTGTACCTTCATCTCCCCATAACTAAATTTAAATCTATGTTGCACATTTACACACTTCTTGTATAAAGCTAAGTATATTCATCCTTAATCGAGAGTGCTCTTCTAATGTGTTAGGAGGGGTAATTAACTATGAGGGCTTGTGCTCATAGGAAGTAGAACCCAGATCTAAATAAACCCTGACACTATTCTCATGGGAAATCTGGTTAAATATTAAACTCAATCTACCTCTGAAAAAATTAAAAGGTGAACACATAAGTTCTTGAAAGCGGGGTTCACCTATCTTTATTTAAAATTAAGATGATTTTTCTGGAGCGAACAGATTTCTCAATATTCAAGTTAAAGCTGTAAGAAGATTGCAGCAAGAAGTGTGTAAATGTGCAACATAGATTTCCTGGTTAATTTAAGAAGCTTTCCCCAGTGGAGTCGTCAGAAATCTGTTCGCTCCAGAAAAATCATCTTAAGCAAAGGACAATGCAAAAAACCCATGATCACAATGATCAAGTTGAACAAGTGTGAACATTTCGACTCACTAAGATCCGCACAGAGAAGATAAGTGTAGGTGCTTTGAACTTGCACAAAGGAAGGAATTTTTATTGCCTCAGGTTACCTGACGTAGAGATACATCAGGTAGCCTATAATATATCGCCACGTGCTCTTACTCTTTACCGCGCGGCCCGACGACCCAACCCGGAACGAATATGCTCGGTATTGCTAGGTACTACTCGGTATTTGCACGGTATTAGCTCGGTTTTGCTCAGTATTTGATCGGTATTTGCTCGATTCTGCTCGGTTTTGCTCGGTATTTGCCCAATCAGTTCCGCCCCGAGTGCTTCCTCGAATCATCTTGCTGTTTGAAGTTTGTGAAGATTGGCATACGAAGGTCGGCTGGAGATCTTCTGCCTACTGTTGGGATTCGAATGGAAGGGAGGACTGGGCTACTGCAGCTTCGGAGTGGGATAGGAAATCAGACGGATCAGAGGGAAGTTGGGTATGGTGTGGAATCGGGCCGGTTATTGCTGGGGTCGGCTTTTGGTTGCAGGTAAGGGAGATCGATTGAAGTTCGAGCAGAAGCAGGAAGTCGGAATTGGGGTTGGGGTTTGGCTCAGCTACTTCATGCATCTGTAGAGCTCGGTAAGATCGCGGGGTTTGTGAAGATATTCGAAGCAGGGGCGTAGGAATGGAGGCTTGGGCTGGGTTTGGTCAGGTAGAGGAGGAGATTCATATTTAGCAAGGAGGAGGGAGACAGGTGTTGCGGTGTTCAGGACCAGCTGCAGCCAATGTGGATGGAGGAAATTAGGACGACCGAGCAAATACCGAGCACACATGGATCTTTTCTCGTGCAGTTCTACTGCATTACCGAGCAAGTACCGAGCATTATCGAGCAAGTATCGAGCAAATACCGAGCATTACCGAGCAAGTACCAAGCAATACCGAGCAAATAACGAGTAGTACCTAGCAATACCATGCAAATACCGAGCATATTCGTTCCAGGTGGGGTCGTCGGGCCGCGCGGTAAAGAGTAAGAGCACGTGGAGATATATTATAGGCTACCTAATGTATCTCTACGTCAGGTAACCTGAGGCAATAAAAATTCCAAAGGAATGGAAGGCCAAAACTAATCATAAATGTGAAAATTTCACGACATTAATCCATTACAGCAAATATGTAACAATAAAACTTGCACTCGTCAAAGATGGGGCATCATAGAAATGATTCATTCAATTTTGATTAAATCCATATGTATAATCCTCTAAACCAACTCCAATTGAAGTATGGTAACTCCCTTACTCAAACTCTCAAGCATCCCATCAAAAAATTGAAAATCACATAATCATAATTATGAACACTAAATCAAGTGGTGTAAATGGGTCTATCGTCTTTCTTTTATGTATTCTAAATCCTAAACAGTTCTTTAAAAGACACATAATCACATGGTGACATCTAAAATAGAGTATATATGACTTCTAAAATAAATTTTGAAACTTATTAATTTGAATTTGAGCTTTTATATTAACAAATAACAAATAATAAAAACTACTATGCCCACTAAGAATAAGCATCGATTAAAGCAGAAAAGGGTGGTCACAGGTTTTCAGCAGCTAGCGAAGTTTCTGCTGATATATTTTCCTCAGAAAAGTCGCCATCATCACTAAATTTTTGCGAATTCTTTTTTGTCGGTACAGTCCGATGAAAAATATCTCTTAATTACCTCCATTAGTGCATAGAAGAAGACCGTGGGCAAATCGGATCCATTTCCATGCCATGTTCTCGGATGCTTGTCCATGCCTTCTTCTCCATTATTACTGATGATTACCACATATAATTTCATGATCAGGAAGCTTCCTCATGTATTCAGGCACAATGCTATACTTACACATCACTATATATGTTTATGCGGTTACATCGTAGTCTTTCACGTGTTCTATGCCAAATGGAGCACTGCAGCCCCATTGTCATGTTTCTACTCATTAAACTTATTCTATTACTACTACTTCTTCAAAGTAGTAATTCTCAGCTTTTCCCCATAGTCGATGAAGTAGTTGGACGCCATGGCACACAAGTATACATTATCGACGTGGAGAGACATGAGCAGCACGAGCTCCTCGGCGATGGTGACCTCGAGAGCTTTCACCGCTCATTCCTACCAAACTCCACTCTCGATTCGGGTGAGCCACGACTGGTATACTCTTATCGCCATGTCCTCAGCGGCTTCGCAGCCCGCCTCACTCCGGGAGAGTTGGAGGCCGTCAAGTCTAAGCCCGGCTTTCTTTATGCGCAACGTGACCGCCGCTATCAACTTGCGACAACCTATACACCAAAGTATGGTACTTTTTATTCCTTTGATTTTTATCTTGTAAAATTTGAAAGTAAGATATTACGAATATTTTGGGAATAATTGGAAGTAAAATAGAGAACAATTATTATTATTATTTGAATGAAAAGCTTAAATTGATGAGAAATATCAACATCATTTTCTTTTTCTATAAAAATTAAGAAGATGGTCTAGACTTGTGTAGAAATTATGAATAATTTTATTTTATATTCAATATATTTTTTAGATAATAGAAGTGGGATGACATTTAATACTCTTATGTGCTTTAATAGATATCTGAGCTTAACCACATATAACGCATGGGGATCCTCTATGATGGGACAAGGTATTATCATTGGTGTAATTGACTCTGGAATAAAGCCTACACATCCTTCATTCAAAGACACTAACATGCCACCAAAGCCACCTATTACAAAATGGAAGGGTAACTGTTCATATGCTGGTTTTCCATGCAACAATAAAATCATTGGAGCAAAGGGATTTTATAAAGGGTCACACCCTTCCCCTAAAGACACGGAAGGACATGGAACTCATGTGGCAGGCACCGCAGCTGGCAACTTTGTCAAGGATGCAAATATTCTCGGAATGGCAAAGGGTGACCCATCATCTGGCATGGCACCTATGGCTTATCTCTCCATTTACAAAGTTTGCTTTCCAAAAGTTCGGTGTGGGAGAGTTGACACGTATGCTGCTATCGATCAAGCGATAAAAGATGGGGTGGACATTATCTCGATGTCTATTGGTGGCTTTCATAATGATACACTTTATGAGGATGTAATTTCTAGGGGTTCTATGGCAGCCATACAACATGGAATCATTCCTGTCGCTGCAGCTGGAAATGATGGTCCTATGTCAGTGACACTCAGTCATAGTGCACCATGGGTGTTAACTGTTGGAGCATCAACCACTGATCGAAGAATAGCTTCCACTGTGGAGCTGGGAGATGGTAGAACGTTCCTTGGAGAGTCGGCATACCAACCAAATCATTGGAATTCTACTAAGAAGTGGGAGCTTGAATATCTTGGCAAGAATGGTGATGTTAATGCCAGTTATTGTCTGCCCAATGAATTGGCTAAATTTAACTTAAGAGGTAATCAATAATGTTTTCATGAAATCAAAAATATGATCCATACTATCTATTATTGTTGAATTAATATATACATGTTATATAATATTTGGTTATTAAATAATCCATTAATTTGTTAATTAATATGAGCTAACACATGCATATTGAATTGCAGGTAAAATTGTAATATGCGAGATTAGCATAGTTACGGATGAGATAAGAGGAAAGGCGGCATACCAAGTTGGCGCGGAGGGGATGATTGTAATAAACGAGCCTTCCCAAGGACACACCACTCTTTCTCCTGCTCACGTTCTTCCGGCATCAAATATAGACCATCCCGCAAGACTAGAAATTTTAGACTACTACTACAACAATCAACCCAATGCATTTGCCAGCATACGCTTCAATGGCACCCAATTCGGATTCACTCCCTCCCCCACTGTCGCATCCTTCTCCTCCCGCGGGCCAAGCCGCATGAATGGCGGGATCATCAAGCCCGACGTGCTCGCCCCTGGAGTCAACATTTTGGCCGCCTGGCCAAGAGATGTTGGTCCTCACCCAAATCCATTGGCAACCCACACCTTCACCTTTGAAAGTGGAACCTCCATGGCCACACCACACGTATCCGGGATTGCAGCATTGGTGAGGAGCAAACACCTTGGGTGGACCCCAGCAGAGATTATATCAGCAATTGTGACAACCTCGAATGACTCATGGACGGATGCAGGTGATCTCATTGTCGATGATATCTTATACAAAACTGCAGGGATATATGCCACGGGGGCTGGTCAGGTGAACCCGATCAGGGCGGTGGACCCAGGCCTTGTGTTTGGGCTCACCTTAAATGACTATATTGGATATCTTTGTGGCCTTGGGTATAATGACAAGGAGGTTACAATTACAATCGGAAAACAAACAAGTTGCAATGGGGTTAAGTATCTAACCGCATCAGAACTTAATTACCCGTCAATCGCGATCAATTTGACTAGGTCAACGATGAGTCAAACGGTGAGCAGGACGGTGAAGAATGTAGGGGATGCCAATGAGGACTACTCGGCTAAAATTACCGAGCCCGTTGGGGTAGCAATTTATCTCTCAACTTATAAGCTTAAATTTACGAGGTTAAATCAGGAGGAGAGCTACAACATCAACTTTGTCTTGAAAGGTGCTTATCCGAGCCAGGGGAGTGACATGATAAGAAGAGGGAAAATTGTATGGGATTCAGGGAAGCATGTGGTGACCACACCGATTGCTGTTAGGTTCGTATAATTTACCGGTTCATACATAATGCTAAATATAATAAATGTTTGAGTGTGATAAAAAAAATGTTCATGACAAGTATACGTATACAGAGAGAACAACACGAAGTTTATTTGTTGATATTTTAATTTATTAAATAAAATCTAAATTCATTGGCCTCTCATTATCTTTCTGAAAATTTCTCATGTGATTGACGAACAAATCATGCACTCGAGTAGAACAAATCATGCACTCAATACAGGTACATACAGAGGTCAACCGAGTGTTGAAAATGCTTTCACAAAGTAACCAAGAGGTAGATGTATGGTTCATAACAATCATAAGTATACCAAACCATAGGAAAATCATTTCTAAGATATACAAAACTGTTTGCTAATGCAAAAAGACAATACAGCTACTGTTCTAACTCTTAGCAGTTTTTGTAGCTCCAAATAAGAAGATATTATTAAATCTCTCTTGCTCTGTAGCTTCTCAAATGAATCGAGATGGAAATTGGGAAGTAGGATTAGCCCAAAGCATGAAGAAAACAGGCTTATTGAGTTGTGCTTGCCCATGTAAATCTTAATTATATGCTTTATAAGCTTAACCTAAATGGAGAAGAAGCACTTTACAATTATTACAGAAGGCTCGTTATTTTTTTGCTTAATGTCTCCATAGTCCACCAAGAGTATCTTGTTGTCCATAGTATGTATAATCTCATCTTCCCTCCCATTGACCTGCTTGTATATAGTGTAAAGGCCTAGGACCGATTTGTCACACGGGATAGTGCAGTCGTACCCTTTGCATTCTATTCCCCACGAGCAGAATCCTTTCAGAGAGCCACAGATTTCTGACGACTATGGTGGGATAGAAGGGAGAAAGAAACCCAACACTCACCTAACCAACCCAAAACAATTAGAGAGAGTAAGCAAAATAACTCAACAACCACTAGGGAAGTGAACAACCGCTCAGAAAGTCAACAACAACTCGGCTGGAGGTCAAGGGTGAGGATAGACAAGGGATACTCAACAACCACTGGCACGTATTCCAAGGTGATACGAAGAGGACAGAAACACTCGAAGATCACCCAGGACAAAACAGATGTCTAAGATGAAATTTCTAAAATGTTGGAGCATCAACCACTTATCGAAGAATAGCAACCAATGTGGAGCGGGGAGATGTGAAAATTCTAAAATTTTTTAGAGTTTTTTTGGACCTGAAACTATCAACAACTTTTTCAAAAGTCATTATATGTCTAAATCACAAACCATATTCGCTATAACATAGATATTACTGTGTGTTTTAGCTTCACTAATTTTGATAATTTTTTTACACTGGTGAAATTTCTTAAAAAATTGGCGCTTGTTTTACAAGTGAGAATTTTAAAACTGTTAAGTGTATGTTTTCGTGTTCGAATTCACCAGTGTTTTGGACATTAATTCTTAGTTAATATATTTATGAATATTTTTATATAATTTTTATATTCATGAATTTGAAGATATAAAAAAATTTAAATGAATTTAACCTTAAAAAACTTAAATAATTAAAATAATAATATTTTATTTAAAAAATCCTTTTCCACTTTACTAAAGCCATTTTTCATCTTTTACATTTTTCCCATTTCGTAAAATAGAAAGCTGGGAGAAGGAAAATTTGGAAAAAAGAGTGGAGAAAGAGATCAGGAGACAGACAAAGAAAATTAGGTTTAGAGGTCATAGCGCCATTTTTGTCCATCGACCCAATTGTGAAACTTTTATGTCTCAAAATAAGTCACATTATCAATGCCTAAAAATAAGCAATTTTTATAAAAATTTTCGATTAGATTTTGTTTCCGTTAGTAAAAAATTGAAATAATTTTGCACAAGTAAAACTTTCATAGTGTAACTTTTTATATGTTATAGAGATTAAAATTATAATTTTTTTTTAAATTTTATTACTGTAGGTTTTGAAATTTGTGGGGTTTTTATTGAATAGAAAATTATCGAGACTTTGAAAATAGTGTTTTAGTTTGATAAAAATCTTAAAATATTATTTTATATAATCCCTCGTAATTTAATTATTTTTTAAAAATATGTATTTTTTTTCTTAGTGGGATTTTTGTCGTCTACTGTTATAGAAAACTATGCAATTCTGACACAAGCTCAATTACGCTTTAATTGCAATTCTAGCAAATACTTCAAATTCTCCCTCTATTTGGAAGATAACCAATTTGACTCCATGTAAATCACCAAGTTTTGTACCTCATAGTCTATAACCAGCCACAACTTGGCATTAAGGGCTTCATATTCAATAGTATTGATCATTACAGGGAACTTTAGATGGAGCCCGTACTCAAGAGTAACTTAAGATGATTAATAAAATTTCAGTTCAAATGCAAAAACTTTCAGAAGCTCCATCAACATATAGTGTCCAGCATATAAGAAAAAGAGAAGTAGCTGTTGGCTCACAAAAAATAGGGATGGTGCACTCAACAATAAAATATGTAAGTACTTGAGACTTAATCTCGGGTCTAAGCCACCGACCACTTGATTAATCTACCAAATGATTCTAATTTTTTAAGGATATTTTTAAAAGGAGATTTCTATATACTCAAATTGTATGAGCCTAAAAGTTTGGACGTAATTTTTTGGCCGAATAGAATAATTTCAATGTTGTTTTGTCTGTTAATGAAGCATCCCTCTGTTTCGTACATGATCTTACAAAAACCTAATAAATGGGACGCTATATAACATTTTCTTCTCAAATCAAGACCAAACTTATAGCATATGAAGAGATAGCTAGATACGACTATACCTTTTCTCCCTTTATTGGTTTTAAAAGTAGTAACGACGATGCCAAATATTTTTAAAGCTATTCAAAAGCTTCTTGACATTCAACAGTTCATTAAAACCCTGAGCAATGAGCACCTCTCGATATCTTGAAGAAAGGCATATATTTATCCCCTGAGCGTGCTAAACAATAAGATAGTGTCACAATCCTTCCATTTAGCCTTTGAACTTCCATAATATTTCTCGAGTGAATCATATCTCTTAATGCCTTAATCTTTCAAGATTGACTTTAACCTGTTGGGCTACCATGAATCCCAAGAATTTTTTTGACTCTTCAAAATCTTATGTAATTTTATTCTAAATTTTACTATGATAATTAGGATAAAATTTATAGTTTTGTAATCTGAAATTATTAGAGGATGACATTTTCACCTCCCGATGTGATATATCATTCATGATGATGAGTTTAGCTACATAACTAAAAATCTAAAATATATATTCAAATTATCCCAAAGAAAATATAAATGCAATGGATTTTCACACCTTCCCACGAAAGATGCAAACAGGAATTTATGTAAATTTTTTTTTTTAGATGTAATTTTAGATAGAAAAGTCATGTATTTGTGTGGGTATGTCAGAAGGTAGGAGGCCAAGCAGGTGGATCAATTAAAGTCCCATACACCATTTCATTTTTGCTTAGATTTAAGTTAAATTGTATTTATGGTAAAGCTCAGCTACCCCTTTTTTAATTTTTTTGGTGTGTATTGTAGAAGCCAACTATATTTTGGGACTTCAATTTAATATTGTTGGTTGATTATTAGTTTTTTTATATTGCTTGTGCATTAGAACTGCATGTTTTTTATATGTTTCTTAAACAGTTTTGCTTTGGGGTGGCTCAAACGGAGTCTTTGTATTAGACTCTTAAGATGTTAAATTTTCTACAAATCGAAAAAAAAATTCTAAGATAAAAATGAACATATGATTCAAAATCAACCAATCTTTTCAAAACTAAATGCATGACCACTCTTAGGTAAATTTTTTAAGAAAAAATGGAATTATTATTTCAAACCAAGTCCACCTCATAGTGTCTACTAGCTTGTTCTGATTGTCTTACCCATGCATGCATAACCTAAGTCAAGCATAAAGATTTTATTTTCAACACATAAAGGAATAGTTAATTTTGCATAACATAATATAATTCATGGTCTGGCTTAATGCCCATTTCCCTTATGTACCTCCCACCACTCTAGCATTCACATAAGACTAGATTTTATAGATTTGAGATGCTAAGTGGAGTATAGCTAGTGCCCCTTTTCGAAAAGGGTGGTAAATCCAAGACGAGCTGCCTAGATCCCTAGTGGGTTTTAGGTTATAAGTCACATTGGTGTCTTGCACTAGTTAGGTCGATGGGCATTAATATTAGGAACATCATACATCCCTATAGATTTAGGATCAAAGGCTGGCGATATGGGTATATCGCTGCATACCTTCTTGTTAGATAGGTAATGGCTTCGCTTCCATCTTTAAAAGTATATTTGGTATGAAATGATTCCCCTCATGATTTATCCTCTTTTGTCCAGTTGAGTGACTGTATGATCCTTGCAAGTTTAATAGGTAGTTTTCTTTTATTTTTATGGATTGAAGAGTGGGGTGTTGCCCTTACTGTGTTTAGATTATTTATAGAAATATTTTTTATAGGTGGCCACATTTCTAAGGGGCTAATAAAAATGCTCAAATAATTATTATAAATACACCTTTTAAAGGTACTACAAAGATTCTAAGCCCTTGAGAATACAACCCTAAGGACTAGGTCCGGATGTACATATTATATATTTTATTATAACTATGCTAATCTATTTTTGTAGGGAATCTAAATAATTTTTATTTTTAAAATATAATTTTAGTTAAAAAAGCCAAGCAGGTGTATTGGTATTTCAGAAGCAAGGAGGCTAAACATATAAAGATCGATCAAGAACCTACACACCTTTTTAGTTTTGTATAGATTTAGGCTGAGTTGTAGTATGATGGAGCTCATCTATCTTTGTTCATTTTCTAGGGGTGTATTACAGAACCTAGCTGTATTTATAACCTTTAACTATTATTCATTTTCTTATGATTGGTGTGTTTATATTGCTTGCACATTAGAACTACATATTTTTCTTAGGTTTATTTTATTTCTTTGCTTTGGGTGGCTTGGACAGAGTCTTCTTTAGGCTATTAGGATGTTAAATTTTCTATAAAGATAAAAATTTTCCTAAGGAAGAAATTGAACATAAAAATTAAAATTAACCAACTTTTTAAAACTAAATGCATGACCACTATTGGGTTAATTTTTTAAAATGCAATTATTATTTCAAACCAAGTCCACCTCATAGTGTCTACTAGCTTGTTCTGATTGTCTTACCCATGCATGCATAACCTAAGTCAAGCATAAAGATTTTATTTTCAACACATAAAGGAATAGTTAATTTTGCATAACATAATATAATTCATGGTCTGGCTTAATGCCCATTTCCCTTATGTACCTCCCACCACTCTAGCATTCACATAAGACTAGATTTTATAGATTTGAGATGCTAAGTGGAGTATAGCTAGTGCCCCTTTTCGAAAAGGGTGGTAAATCCAAGACGAGCTGCCTAGATCCCTAGTGGGTTTTAGGTTATAAGTCACATTGGTGTCTTGCACTAGTTAGGTCGATGGGCATTAATATTAGGAACATCATACATCCCTATAGATTTAGGATCAAAGGCTGGCGATATGGGTATATCGCTGCATACCTTCTTGTTAGATAGGTAATGGCTTCGCTTCCATCTTTAAAAGTATATTTGGTATGAAATGATTCCCCTCATGATTTATCCTCTTTTGTCCAGTTGAGTGACTGTATGATCCTTGCAAGTTTAATAGGTAGATTGAGCCTAATTTTATTTTGATTAGGAGAGGCTAGATATTTCACTATGCATAAAATCTGGAAGAGAATAATATAATATCTCTAATCGAGATTATTCTTGGGTCAATGCCTAAAATGTAATTAATCACGGGGCTTACGTTCATGGGAAACCAATAGTCACATTAAACAAACCTCATTCGAGTTGATGTATCAGATGGGAGAAATTTAGTGACTATCAAGTTATATATATATTATTATCCATTGAGATGTGTAGCTGGAAGCTGATATTCTCTACAAGTAATCGTATGTATAATTCAATTTGTTATTGCAATGGATTGCTTGTATAGAGTGTAAAGATTTGTGATCGTTTTGTCCTACATAATAGTGTGATCTCATCCGTTTCATTCAAGCCGCTCGAGTAGAATCTTTTCAAAGACCCACACCCACTGTCAGTACCAAATGTGCACCTCCACAAGAGATGCGAACCATATCATCTCGCACTACCCTCAACATTTGCAACATCCTACCAATGGGGCTTGTCTTTACATCCCCAACCACCACCCCGAAAGTGCTACTCCTGCTCAAATTTTTATTGCTCATTTCTAACTAAATACATTCACTCAAATTTGTCCTCTTAACTCTAAGGCTATGTGAATTTTCACAGTTAACATATCAGCTTAGTCTTTCTCAAAATTGGTGGAGAGGTTAGGTGACCATAAAAATATTCATTAATGGCTAGCATATATTAGTCAACAATTGTTAGGGAACATCAAAAGCAAGCGGTGGTGTAGAATTGATATAAATGTTCTCTTGACAAGATATGAGATTGAATGACAGATAATATAAACCTTGGTGCCTAACAACCATTTGTCGTTTGCATGTGTCAGACAATTGTCGACATGGGATGTTAGAAATTGTGTCAATATTGAGCATCAAACATGATCGGCATATTTATGCTCATAATAAAATACAGATTGAGCATTAGAAAAAATTTGTTCGGCATCTATGACCAACAATCATTAAATGTCGGGCAAACTTAAAAAATAATAGTTATCGAATTTCAACTAATGTGGAGCGACAATAGACATCAATATTATGAAATGGTAGGTGTTAGGTATTTTGAGCCTAACAGTTCTTTAAAAAACACATAATCGCATGGTGACATCTAAAATAGAGTCTATATGACTTCTAAAATAAATTTCCAAGCTTTTTAATTTGAATTTAAGCATTTTATACTAACAAATAACCAAAATTATCAATTTTATGAGTCATATCATATATAAAAATAAAAATTACTATCCCCACTAATAATAAGCATCGAAGCAGCAAAGGGTGGTCACGGGTTGGTGCCATGGACTCAATACTAAATATTAAAAATACCTACATATTATTTGGCCATGTAAGTGCGAGATGCCTGTAATATTAATATTTTAGATGTTAGATATCTAAATAGTATGAAATAAATTGGTATGTATGTAAATCCCCCTTTCAAAAAAGGATAATTTTAATTTCTAGAGCAAAACTAACTTATAAGAAAATAACAAGTTTAAGCAGCTCGCGAAGTTTCTGCTGGTATATTTTTCCTTGCCGGTACAGTCCGATGTCAAATATCTCTTAATTACCTCCATCAGTGCTCAGAAGAAGATCGTGGGCAAATCGGATCCTTTTCCATTCCATGTTCTCTGATGCTTGTCCTTCTTCCTCCATTATCAATGACCAGGAAGCTTGTCCATGCCTTCTTCTCCATTATTACTAATCAGGAAGCTTCCTCATGTATTCATGCACAATGCAATACTCACACATCGCTATATATGTTCATGTGTTTCCATCGTAGTCTTTCACGAGTTCTATACCAAATGGAGCATTGCAGTCCCATTGTCATGTTTCTACTCATTAAACTTCTTCTTTTACTACTACTTCAAAGTAGTAATTCTCAGCTTCTCCCCATAGTCGATGAAGTAGTTGAAAACCATGGCACACAAGTATACATTATCGACGTGGAGAGACATGAGCATCACGAGCTACTCAGCGATGGTGACCTCGAGAGCTTTCACCGCTCATTCCTACCAAACTCCACCCTCGATTCTGGAGAACCACGGCTGGTATACTCTTATCGTCACGTCCTCAGCGGCTTCGCCGCCCGCCTCACTCTGGGAGAGTTGAAAGCCATCAAGTCTAAGCCCAGCTTTCTATATGCGCAATGTGACAGCAGCTATCAGCTTGCAACAACCTATACACCAAAGTATTGTACTTTTTATTCCCTTAATTATTGTCTGTAAAATTTGAAAGTAACATATTATGAGTATTTTGAGAAAAATTGAAAGTAAAATAGAGAACAATTATTATTATTATTTTAATAAAAAGCTTAAATCTATGCCAAATGTCAACATCATATTCTTTTTTTATATAAATTCCGAAAATTTTTTAATATATATAAATTACGAAGATCTTGGCTTGTGTAAGAATTAGGTATATTTTTATTTTTACATTAAGTATATTTTCTTTTCAATAGAAGTGGGATGACATTTAATACTTTTATGTGCTTTAATAGATATCTAGGCTTAACCACATATAACGCGTGGGGATCCTCTATGATGGGACAAGGTCTTATCATTGGTGTACTCGACACCGGCATAAAGCCTAGACATCCTTCATTCAAAGACACTAGCATGCCACCAAAACCACCTGTTACAAAATGGAAAGGCAACTGTTCATACGCAGGTTTTCCATGCAACAATAAGATCATCGGAGCAAAGGCATTTTATGGAGGGTTACACCCTTCCCCTTAAGACACGGAAGGACATGGAACTCATGTGGCAAGCACTGCAGCTGGAAACTTTGTCAAGAATGCAAATATTCTTGGAATGGCAAAGGGTGATCCAGCATCTGGCATGGCACCTATGGCTCCTCTCTCGATTTACAAAGTTTGCTATCCACCTGGGTGTAAGAAAACTGACACGTATGCTGCAATCGATCAAGCCATAAAAGATGGGGTGGACATTATCTCGATGTCTATTAGTGGCTTTCATAATGATAAGCTTTATGAGGATGCAATTTCTAGGGGTTCTATGGCAGCATTACAACATGGAATCATTCCTGTCTCTATAGCCGGAAATAAAGGCCCTGAGATAGAGACACTCAGTCATTGTGCACCATGGGTGTTAACTGTTGGAGCATCAACCACTAATCGAAGAATAGCATCCATTGTGGAGTTGGGAGATGGTAGAACATTCCTTGGAGAGTCAGCGTACCAACCAAATCATTGGAATTCTACTAAGAAGTTGGAGCTTGTATATCCTGGCAAGAATGGTAACCTTAGGGCTCGTGTTTGTTTGCCCAATCAATTGGCTAAATTTGACTTAAGAGGTAATCAATAATGTTGTCATGAAATCAAAATTATGATCCATATTGTCTATAACTGTTGAATTAATATATATACTTGTTATATAATATTTGGTAATTAAATAATCCATTTATTTGTTAATTAATATGAGCTAGCACATGTATATTAAATCGCAGGTAAAATTGTAATATGCGTGGCTGGCAGGTTTAAGGATGAGGTGAAAGGAGAGGCGGCATACCTAGCTGGCGCGGAGGGGATGATCGTAATAAACGAGCCTTCCCAAGGACACACTACTTTTTCTTCTGCTCATGTTCTTCCGGCATCAAATATAGACCACCCGGCAGTATTAGAAATTTTAGACTACTACTACAACAATCAACCCAATGCATTTGCCAGCATACGCTTCAATGGCACCCAATTCGGATTTACTCCCTCCCCCACTGTTGCATCTTTCTCCTCTCGCGGGCCAAGCCGCAGGAATGGTGGGATCATCAAACCCGACGTGCTTGCCCCTGGAGTCAACATTTTGGCCGCCTGGCATACAGATGTTGGCCCTAACCCAAATCCATTGGCGACCCACACCTTCAACTTTGATAGTGGAACCTCCATGGCCGCACCACACGTAGTAGGGATTGCAGCATTGGTGAGGAGCAAACACCTTGAGTGGACCCCAGCGGAGATCATATCAGGAATTGTAACAACCTCGAATGACTCATGGACGGATGCAGGCGATCTCATTGTTGATGATACCTCATACAAAACTACAGGGATATATGCCACAGGGGCTGGTCAGGTGAACCCGACCAGGGCGGTGGACCCAGGTCTTGTGTTTGGGCTCACCTTAAACGACTATATTGGATATCTTTGTGGCCTTGGGTATAATGATACGGAGGTTTCACTTACGATCGGAAAACAAACACGTTGCAATATGGTTCAGAATCTAACCGCATCAGAACTTAATTACCCATCAATCGCGATCAATTTGACTAGATCAACGATGAGTCAAATAGTGAACAGAACGGTGAAGAATGTGGGGGATGCAAGAGAGGACTACTCAGCTAAGATTACCGAGCCCGTGGGGTAGCAATTTATCTCTCAACTTATAAGCTTCGATTTACGAGGTTGAATCAGGAGGTAAGCTACAACGTCAACTTTGTCTTGAAAGGTGCTTATCCGAGCCGGAGGAGTTACATGATAAGAAGAGGGAAAATTGTATGGGATTCAGGCAAGCATGTGGTGACCACACCGATTGCTGTTAGGTTCACATAATTTACCAGTTCTTGCATAATGCTAAATATAATAAATGTTTGAGTGCAATCAACAAATGTTCAAAACAAATATATATACAGAGATCAAACTACAAAATGTCTATTTGTTGATATTTTAATTTATTAAATAAAATCTAAATTTGTTAATTAATATGAGCTAGCACATGTATATTGAATGGCAGGTAAAATTGTGATATGCATGGCTGGCAGGTTTAAGGATGAGGTGAAAGGAGAGGCGGCATACCTAGCTGGCGCGGAGGGGATGATCATAATAAACGAGCCTTCCCAAGGACACACTACTTTTTCGTCTGCTCATGTTCTTCCGGCATCAAATATAGACCACCCGGCAATATTAGAAATTTTAGACTACTACTACAACAATCAACCCAATGCGTTTGCCAGCATACGCTTCAATGGCACCCAATTCGGATTTACTCCCTCCCCCACTGTTGCATCTTTCTCCTCCCGCGGGCCAAGCCGAATGAATGGTGGGATCATCAAACCCGATGTGCTCGCCCCTGGAGTAAACATTTTGGCCGTCTGGCATACAGATGTTGGCCCTAACCCAAATCCATTGGCGACCCACACCTTCAACTTTGACAGTGGAACCTCCATGGCCGCACCACACGTAGCAGGAATTGCAGCATTGGTGAGGAGCAAACACCTTGGGTGGACCCCAGCGGAGATCATATCAGCAGTTGTAACAACCTCGAATGACTCATGGACGGATGCAGGCGATCTCATTTTCGATGATACCTCATACAAAATTGCAGGGATATATGCCACAGGGGCTGGTTAGGTGAACCCGACCAGAGCGATGGACCCAGGTCTTGTGTTTGGGCTCACCTTAAACGACTATATTGGATATCTTTGTGGCCTTGGGTATAATGATACGGAGGTTTTACTTACGATCGGAAAACAAACACGTTGCAATATGGTTAAGAATCTAACCGCGTCAGAACTTAATTACCCATCAATCGCGATCAATTTGACTAGATCAAAGATGAGTCAAATAGTGAACAGGACGGTGAAGAATGTGGGGGATGCAAGAGATGACTACTCAGCTAAGATTACCGAGCCCGTGGGGGTAGCAATTTTTCTGTCAACTTATAAGCTTCGATTTACGAGGTTGAATCAGGAGGTAAGCTACAATGTCAACTTTGTCTTGAAAGGTGCTTATCCGAGACGGAGGAGTTACATGATAAGAAGAGGGAAAATTGTATGGGATTCAGGCAAGCATGTGGTGACCACACCGATTGCTATTAGGTTCACATAATTTACCAGTTCTTGCATAATGCTAAATATAATAAATGTTTGAGTGCAATCAACAAATGTTCAAAACAAATATATATACAGAGATCAAACTACAAAATGTCTATTTGTTGATATTTTAATTTATTAAATAAAATCTAAATTCATTGGCCTCAACTCAGCAAATATGCTTACCTTCTCTGTAATATTTACAAACTTTCGCATGCGATATGATATTGATAATACTTTTCTTTGGAGATGGTCATTTTCTTTCAGAAACTTTTTCATGTGTTGATGAACAAATCATGCACTCGAGCTTCCAGCATTTAAAAAAAAAAAAGAATCAATTAATAAATGGTCCATAAATATAATTTAAATTATGCAATATTTTATTATCTGCATTATTGGCGCTAATATTATTTAAATTTTATTAAATAAGAAAGTTATCTCAAATGAAGCCTAAATTAACTCACTTTAAAGTTTTGTTAAGCTCTACATGACTTAACATACAAAATATTTATATATTTTTAATTATTTTTTTAATTTATAGAATATAACATTCCCCAATTAGAACCACAATCAATTTTAGGGCACTTAAAGATAAACTCATAAGAACTTCTATGTTGGCTATAATATTAAAGCACATTAAAATAAATTTATATTTTCTTAGAGATGTTTTTATTGGGGCGATTATTTGGTTCAATTATAGCGACAATGACTTTGAGAGCTTTCACCAATCCTTCCTACCAAACTCAACACTTGACTTTGAGAGATGTTTTTATTGGGGCTGGTATACTCTTACCGTCATGTTCTCAGCGGCTTCGCCGCCCGCCTCACTCCGGGAGAGTTGGAGGTCATCAAGTCTAAACACGGCTTTCTCTATGCGCAGCGCGATCGTCACTACCAGCTTGCTACAACCTATACACCAAAGTATGATATTTTTTATTCTTTATGAGAAGATGATATTGGCTTGTTAAGGAAGTAGGTGTTATTGTTTTCTAGACATTAGAAGTAGGATGAAATTTAAAACTCTTATGTGCTTTAATAGATATCTCGGTTTAACCACATATAGCACATGGAGATCCTCTATGACGGGAAAATGTCTTATCATTGGCGTAATTGACACTAGCATAAAGCCTAGACATCCTTCATTCAAAGACACTAACATGCCACCAAAGCCACCTATTACAAAATGGAAGGGTAATTGTTCATATGCAAGTTTTCCATGCAACAATAAGATCACCAGAGCAAAGTTATTTTTTGGAGGTACATACCCTTCCCCTTAAAACACAAATGGGCATGGAGCTCACGTAGAAAGCATTGCAGCAGGAAACTTTGTCAATGATGTAAATATTCTAGGAATGGCAAAGGGTGACCCCGCATCGGGCATGACACCTATGGCTCATCTCTACATTTACAAAGTTTGTTTCCCAAATGCTGGGTGTGCTCGGACTGACACGTATGCTGCTATCGATAAAGCTGTAAGAGATGGGGTGGACATCATCTCGATGTCTATTGGATGAGGTCAAAATTCTACGCTTTATCATGATTCAGTTTCAAGGGGTTCGATGGCAGCCATACAACATGGATCATTCCAGTCATTGCATTTGGAAATTATGGGCCTGCTACTGGGACACTTTGTCATAGTGCGCCATGGGTATTAACAGTTGGAGCATCGACAACTGGTCGAAAAATAACATCCATTGTGGAGCTAAGTGATTGTAGAACATTCCTTGGAGAGTTAGCATTCCAACCAACAATCTAGAATTATGTTAATTAATATGAGAAAATTAAAAACAACTACAACACAAACAATATGGAAGAATCCTTCAATTCATGATTAGAGGAATGTTGATAGAACAACATTCTCAGAGGAAGTTAAATTGCACATCTTGGAAGTTGCCTCTTGTTTCTTGTGTGGAGGAGTACATCAGAGTTGTTACAAAAAGGAAAGACCCCTTCATTATTTGTCAATCTACTTCAACCAAAGTTGAGGTAGTTGTAGCAATTTTAACTTATGAAATGATCGATAAAGAATCACACCACAAGAAAAAATGTAGTTGTAACAATTTTAACTAAATCAATCACATTAGCAAAGTCAATACTAAATTATGTATATGAAAGAAAATAAGACAAGAGATCACCAAATTAAAAAAATACAAATCTCACATTAGTATAAGAAGAAGATTGCCCAAGAAAACAAGTAGTCATACTAGCATAGTATCCAAATAAATCAACATCCAACAAGTAAAAAAGTTTGAGGAAATTCAAAAGTTTATCCAACAAAATCTATTCTACATATATAAGTGCATCAACAACCCTTTTATAATTACAAGTGATCCATAATCATCATAATCCTTGCTCTCGATGTTGGTAAAGGAAAACTAAGCTTATGCCAAGGCTCTTAAGCAATGGACCATGCAAAAATAATGATCTAGTTGATTAAGTGTGAACATTTCGACTCACTAAGATCCGCACTAAGAAGATAAGTTTAGGTGCTTTGAACTCGCACAAAGGAAGGCCAAAACTAATCATAAATGTGAAAAAAGCACGACATTAAATCATTGCAGCAAATGTGTAATAATAAAACTTGTACTCATAGAAGATGGCGCGTCATATAAATGCTTCATTCAATTTGTTTAAATCCATATGTATAATCCTCTAAACCAACTCCAATTGAAGTATGGTAAGTCCCTTACTCAAACTCTCAAGCATCCCATCAAAAAAAATTGAAAATCACATAATCATAATTATGAACACTAAATCAAGTGGTGTAAATGGGTCTACCTAGCTTTTTTCTTTTATGTATTTTGAGTCTAACAGTTCTATGAAAAAATACATAAGCGCATGGTGACATCTAAAATAAAGTCCATATGACTTCTAAAATAAATTTCCAAGCTTAGTTTGAATTTGAGCTTTTATATTAACAAATAACCAAAAATAAAAACTACTATGCCCACTAAGAATAAGCATCGATTAAAGCAGCAAAGGTTGGTCACAGGTTAATTAACGCAAGGAAGAAATAATGAAGGGAGAAATGAGAAGTAAAACCCAAGGCCTCAATACTTAAGATTAAAAATGCCTACATATTATTTGGCCATATAAGTGCCAGATGTTTTCAGAAAAGGAAAATTTTAATTACTAGAGCAAAAACTAACTTATAAGAAAATAATATGTTTCATAAGCTAGCGAAGTATCTGCTGGTATATTTTTATTTAGAAAAGTCGCTTGTAAGCAGCCATCATCACTAAATTTTTGCGAATTCTTTTTTCTCTGTACAGTCCGATGAAAAATCTCTCTTGATTATTGTTGACCTCTACATATATGTGATGGTTATTGTGAGAAAATGAAACGCTAATCGATTATTATTAATAAACAAGATATTACTTAATGTCCGTTAGACAACCTACCAAAGATCGAGTACCTTCTAAGGTACTCGTTCCGCGTACCTAAACGCTCTCTAAGTTGAAATAGTTCAATCATAGGCGTTCTTTTCTTCACTTTCATTGAAGATAGGTAAACAGCGGAGCTCACCCGGACCCGGAGCTCTAAAAGAGCTTTCACTTTTGGGAAGGGAGGCGCCTGAGCATGACTCAGGTAGTTAGAGTGAAGATCGAATTGTCTTGATCAGGATGAGAGTATTCAAATTTTGTCCGTTTACAAAATATACCACATTGATGCAATTAGGACATCAAATATATCAAATAGAATTTGTTCATATGCGGATCGATCGAGTAACACTTTGTTAGTAAGCACGACGCTAGCAAAACTTACCCAAAATAATCTTCGATTATCAAATGGGATGCATCAATGTATTTAGAACATCAAATCTAACTAGAAAGGGACACCTTGCAATCAAAGTAAGTGAAAGCGGATCAAATCGACAGACTACGAGCAGAATTTAGCTCGACGTTTTCAAAATGTTATCGATTTGTGAAATAGTCTTTACCAATGCATCCAGAACGTCCAAAATAATAAGAAATAATTGCACCATTATTTTTATATTTGTACGAGTAAAAATATAAAATCTAGTATGAAAAAAATATATATTACATTTGGCTTGGGTTGCAAGATGAGGACACACAAATTTTAGATATAAGTGCCATGTATAATAAATAATATTAAATACATATAACTAATATAATATAATATTTAATCTCTTCCATTGTATAGTTCATTTTTGCATCCAGTGAATAATCCAATCATCTTATCTCCATTCATGGTGCTGAGGCTACATCATGCCACCTGCTCTGTTTTAAAATTCCAACCTCTCGCCGCATATCTTTGCCATCATCGTCGTTGCCTTACTCACTTGTCAAGGTATATCATGCATTCGCCAAATTCTCAAATCTCAAATCCCGTTCTCGATGCTTGCGGCAAGCCGGCGAACCTCCCTATGAGCTCACGTAGCACAGTGGGAGGAAATCTGGTGCGACGCTCGCGACAAGGCCGGTAAACCTCGAAGCGCTCACGTAGCGTGACGGGGATTAAAGAAGTAAGGCCGTGATGTCATTCGACATCTACCTGAAGTGCTCATGTAGCGTGGAA